TGTAGTAAAGATTTCACATATGAGGTTTTTTGAATTACTTACCGTCACCTCCAGCCTCACCAGGAGGAAGTCTTTGGATAGAAAATGCTAAGCTTAAAAATGTTTCTTAAATATTTTAAATATAATTCCCTCACATCGGGAACAACCAAAACCCCTCAAGACAGTCGCGTAAAGGAGATACATTATGGTGTCAAAAGAAAAAGCTCAGTTTTTTGGGAAAAATTCAAACTGAGTAATTCATTGAAACAAAAAGTTAAACATTAGGATCAAGTGCGATCAAGGTTCGTTTAATCGTCTAAGACGAGAGATAAAGAAAAAAAAGCAATATTGTATCAGTTCACTTGACACAGGTCATTGTGGCACATAATCCACACTGTGGATGAAGCTGAAGCGAGACTTAGAAACCTTTATAGCGTAAACTGAGAACGAACTCATGTGTAAGGTCTTAAAGATGTTTTATTGAAGTCTTCGTTTTACAGTAGATCTGGAACCCTTGTTTGTAACTCTGTGCGACTTCCCACAAAAAGCCACTTACACACTCAAATTATTCTTACTGTAGAAGCCATGTTGATGATCACGTTTGAACAAAGTTATCAAAAAATACCACATACTACAATGAAATAGAATTCTCGATTTGAGTTAAAAAAATTAAGAAACGAGCTAAAAATTAGACTTAAAAACATTGCCAAACATCTAAGTTAGTGGTATTCTAAGACCTTTTTTCTTTTTCCTTATTTTTCGATTTTCAGGGTAATGTTAGTAATAATGACGAATTATATAGAGACGTTACGAGTTATGAAAACTCCAGGAAATGAGTTACTTAGATCGTTTGCGCCTTACAAAATCTCTAACAAATGAATTGTGACCCTGCGTATTTTCTTCTTATAATTTTAAACGTAGTCTGCATGCAAAGCACTCGTAAACTTGTTGTGGAAGTGAAATATTCAAATTGTTATTGTACCGCTTAATATCTTATATCTGACTTGTTACTCGTTTCCACAACATCTTTCTGATATTTTTTTTAATGTAATTTGCACTCAAACGTACGTAGTAACATAGTGAAAATAGACGTCACTCTACCTCTTAGCTATCGTTATGCTCTCATACGAGTTATGAAAATTCTAGAAATGAGCTACTTAGGTCATTAAATATACTGTTAAATCTCTAATAAGTGACGTCTCATCCAGTAATTGTTTCTTTTTTTTGTGATATTTTTAACGTTTTTCAACTACAGATACTAACGACATTAAGCAACTCGACACGTACTCTGAATACTCGCTGGACGAGTTGTGGTCAGTGAACTCTTCAGCTTGTTGTCTTCAGATTGTTGCTGTACTGCCTAATGTCTAACAGCTGAAATCTTAACCGTAAGTCTAAGTTCTTTGATATAACATGACACCCAAAACTAACGTGACTTTAACTCCGTGTGACTTCAATACTTGCGGATGAGTTAAAAAATGTTAAGAAATGAACTATTTAGATTACCAGCGTACTATCTAATGTCTAGTTAGTGGACGTCTTTGACCCGTACATTTGTCTACGTTTTTCTTGTCAAATCTCGGATGATTTTTCGAGTTTAAACAAAATTTTAGAAATGAGCTATCTAAATAGTTGTTCTTCTAATAAATATTGATAATTCTCATTTAAGTCCGTTAGTGTTCTATTGTTATTATCACGTTATTAACCTTCATTGCTCTTTTCTATATTAGAAACTCTAAAAGGAAGTTATTCAATGACATCAAATCCCCTCTCAACTACGAGTGAGCTCTGAAGAAGCTTAACAGTTTCGATGGGAAGGAGCTTAAAAATTACTTTTAAAACCAGTGAGGTATTCCTAATCAAAACATTCACTCAGTTATATTATGATTAATGGTGGAAAGATCAGCATGCAGACAAAAATGGCTTATCATACTAGCAGCATAGTAAGCTTTTCGACTTTTCGTGGGCCTACACCCTAGGAAAGTTCAATTTTGTTTCAAAACTTGCAAGAGTTATATGATAAACGTCAAGTGGGCGCAAAAAAACATTTAGGCCCGGGGGTAGAGGACTGTATGCTGGCCACACCCATGATATTGTTGTGTTCCGTCTTGAGCCATTAGACTCATCTGCGGACTAAGAATTATGGTCTCTAGAAATACGTTAAAACTGACAGTGTCAGGTACATGTACGTGTTATAATACGCCCCTCCCGAGTTCACGTGGTTCAGTGATCTGATGGCGAAATTACGGCGCGAAGGCGAAGCTACATGCGAAGCCGCTCTCATCGGTATAAGGAATATAGTGCCATAGTGGTGAAAATGAGAGGAAAATCCTCGGAATTAAGTTTGGGAGAGTGAAAACATTTTTGTGGGCGAGAGGCATCAGCTAAGTGATGGCGGAAAAAGCAAGAAAAAAGCAGAACTGTTTGATTTATGCTAGAAAGTTGCGGCAACGAAGCAGGTCAAACTAGCCGCATCTGCTGAAGGGGGAGAAATAACAAACAAGTGAGGGCTAATTTCCATTTCCCAAAATTTTGAACGCTCGGATGCACAACTTTCGTAACTTTTCAGAGGCCAAGCTTGGCCTCACTTTCTTCTACGTCATCATTCAACCGTTGTGGTGAACTGACCGATTAATCCTTCCGGCTGGTGGCTTAGTTTTCTGCACTTCTTATGTAGTTAATTACAGATTCCCATTGCAAAAAATACACATATTGAGCTCATTTCACAAATAACTGATTTCAAAAATCGTTTCACAAACTACAGCAAGCCCTCGCTACGAGTCAGCAAGACATAAAGCAATGGTTAAATGATGACATCAAAACAACGACGGCAAGGCTGCATGCGGACGCCAAACGAGAAGCTGTACGTTCAAGAATTTAAAATTATTGGTACTGAAAATTTGCTATCACTTTTTTGTAATTTCTCCTCCTACAGCTTTTTGCGGTCTTTGGCAAGAAGAGGCTATTTCGATTTGCTCCATTGCCGCAGCTGTCTTGCATAAATAGAACAGTTCTCCTTTTTTTCCTTTGCCGCCATCAATTCACTGAATGCCCCTCAAACAAATAAACTTTTGTTCTCCTCCATTGAATTTCGCTCATTTCCCCCAAATTTTTACTACCAAGGCACTTAGATCCTTATACCGATGACAATGATTTTGCACTTAGCCATGTCTTCGCGCCGTAATTTCGGCGACTTCGCACTTAGCCTCGTTCTCGTGCAGTGATTTAGGCACAGGTTCAATGAACCGCGAGAACTCGGAAGTCGTCTATTAAAGAAAAAACAAACAAACAAACAAAAAAACAAAATACGGACAAAACAAAACAAAAAGAAGATGAACTGCCACTACACACCCACTTAGAAATAGCGCAATATGTTCCACTCCAACTTTACCTTGTTACCTTATGATCATGATTAATTCAGAGAACAATTCTACAAGTAATGTTAACATTAAATCTAAGAAAAAGAAATTAAAAACCCGACTTTTCTAACTAAGATGTTATCATAGACAGTACGTATTGATTACTAGAATTATTTTTCTCCTTTTCTTTGTAATTTTTTTTCTAATCGTTTTATAGCCCTCACGGTCTCCATACAATGTTTTTGGCTCTTGGAAACTGTCGGAGGCAAAAGAAAAAACACGCCAATCAATGAATGCAAAAGTTACTTATCGATTAGTTGTTTGTTTGATCTACCGACCCGACAGTCAGTCAGTCGATCGGTATATATCAACAAAAGCAGAGAAAAACTGATTCGTTTGAAAATGTGCTGGTATCCTTAGTGACAACAATGAATTGAATGTCTGAAAAAAAATCGCAACTGACTTTGAAAAAAGACAAGCAGCATATGATAGCTATAACAAATCAGACTTTCTTATTCATCTCCGATAACTTCGGTCATTGAAGTTGCAGTGATATCTTAAATTTGAAATTGGTTTGAAATAGCAAGGGGTTAAAAACTTTAGGACAGAGTTACGCTGTGAGAATGGCATAAAAAAGTTACTTTTGATTCAGAATATAAATCGGGCTCAAGAAACTGATGGTCAGGAGTCAACTATACATGTATATACACAGTAACCCCACAGAGATTTTCACCCGACATCTCAAATATTACACTAATTCTGTAAGATACATGTAAAAATCAAAACACAAGTTCTTTGGAGGGATTTGTTTTTCTGCATCCCTTTCGTCAGCGGTATTCAGTGTTAAAGCAAACGTATTAAGCATTTACCTTGGTTTCGGAAACAAACAACTAAAGCCTGCTATCAAACACTTCTTCTTCCCCTGGATGGAATACGAAAAGAGATATAAATACAACGCGCTCACTTTTTTTAAACGATGCAGTAGTAATTGCACACATACAGAAAACATAGCATCCACTTATTAGAGCTCATTGAAATTTTGCATATCTGTATTGAAGTGTTTTGACAACATCAAAGTCGCTATTTCCATTCAATGAGCTGTGGTAAGAGGCGGCTATGTTTTCTGTAGTTAGGCAAATTATTAATGTATTGCTTAAAAAAAACAAACAAGTAAAACAACTCCATAAATTCTTTAATATTGGATTTTAGCATTGCATAAAAAGTTACAAGAAAGTAGAATAATTCGCAAGTAGTGTATTTTTCTTTTCAATATCGTCACCTCCAGATGTGAGTCGCGACCTTTCGACTGAACACTTCAAGTGTTCTTCTGGCAATAGAGTGGACTGATTATGCGTCACCTTATGAAGTATTCTATGGACCAATTTGCGTTTATCTCTTCTGATTTATAAAAAAATTTACTTTCCTCTGCGTCATCCGTACCAGGCTCATGCGCCTTCTCTTCTTCAGCTTTTCTAGCTTCTTTAGAAAATTATTTTTAATTACAAAATAAGTTAGTATTAAGTCATTAAATCTTTTCTTTGTACTTAGAAATTAGAATCATTAATGTTTCACCAATTTCTACACTAGAATTTTCCGGTGACTACCAAGGTAAAAGAGATGTTGTAATTTCTCAGAAAATGCCTTAATCTCTTCAGTAACCAATCAAAAACCATTATCTCCTTTGCCTTTGTTACTGGGCACTGAAATCTCTTCAATCTCCATCTGCTCCTCAGATTCACCAGCTGTATGAAATCAGATTCATTGTTAAAATCTGAGGCTAGATAACGCGGCCCATTGCCCGTTATCAAGCCAGCAAATTAGTCCAGGTGCTACTTACACTGTATGCTGAAATAAATAATATCCATGGCGGACAAATGTTCAGTTCCTAAAAAGAATTTCATTGTTTTTACCTTTCTCAGTTGGCTTTTTAGGTTCAGGCTTACTTCCTCCTTCTTGATCTGCACACAGATATTTGAGATATATTGTATTCAATTTTTGTCCTTGCATTCGACGAAGTGATTGATATTTTGGGAGGATCACTGAGGAAAGGGCATAACTGAATATGCAAGATTGTTGAAACAGTCAGCTGTGTACTTTTATCACCTCTTAAAAACCTTTGTTGGAGGCCACCAATTTATCCTATCATTAACTTCCTTTTTTGCCCCCGTTACCATACTGGATGAGTGAGTCCCTATAGCTTACAAGTAGCTACCCCTGAACTTTACAAAAATGTAACTCTATCAAAGCAATGAACCAAAAGTGACTAGAATCAAGCTGGTGCTGGCTTTGTATCAGAAATGTTTTACTACTTTCCATCAAATGTATCTTGACGTTATGGAAAGTGAAGTATTATGCTCACTGAAATCCGCAACAATCGCTCTATATTTCGATTACTGTATCGGAAGCTATAAGTTACAATAAAGAGGAGTGTCCATCACGACAAAGATTGTTGTAAGTACCTTAACCGTCGATCAATAACGGTAATTTTTTAGACCCGTTTTTAAGTTAATTTCAATTGGAACGGATGATTCCATAAAACTAGGCAATTCTCAACATCAGAAACTTCCATTAGTGTGTAGAGACACTCCTACTTACACAAGATGTCAACTATTACCTTCTTTTTGTCTTCTTCGTCGATACTGGCTCTCGCCATGATGAACAGTTACTGCAATAAAGAATACCACTCATTTAAATAAACTGCAAGTGGTTCCTGAAAGGCTCAACGTTAATAACACAGCTACGTCTTAGGTCTTTGACAACAGCAAACTTTCCAATAAGACTTTTTTTTAATTGCATTGGCCCATTAGGTTCAGTAACTGAGGGTGGGTTTTGTACCTTCCAGAAATAGTGGCTAACAAGCTGTTCTCGTAAAGTTTTCCATGAGACAGACTAAGAATATATGATCTGATTGGTAATTATGACTAAGCGTTAAACACGATAACCCTAATCCTATTGATGTGACATACAAAACCATGCAATCAAGTATACCAAGTGCGCCAGTCTAGTAGCACCAGCCACCATTCGCTGGTTTGTAGGGTTATGAAATTTCCAACAAAAAGAAACACGAAAAATGAAAAGGTGTTTACCTTCCACAGTCTTTGTAGTGGCTGGTCTGATGTCAAAATCATCCTCATAATCTGTTTTAAGGAACAAGCAGAGTAAATCGTTTCATGATGCCTATGGTTCATGTTTTATTCTGAAATAAATTTCTCTACAAACCTATTTTACGTACGTTAGATTTCCATATGTATTCAATTATTCATTGATTTATGAAATATCACTGAGTTACAAAGCTAACATTTAAATCTGGAAGTTAATTTATGCGCATGAAAATCTGCCAAATACATATAGGAGATGTTGGTATCTACCTTCCATAATACACTCTACAGGTTGTAGGTGGTAAAAGTGCCTATGGCAATTTATCACCATAATGTCTGAAATAACTTGTCAACCAAAAGTAATACAACCTAATTTCATTGCATTTGTGTCATATGGGAGATCCTTCCTTTATCTCTCCTTTCTCAAAACGTGCTTACAGAAACTATCAGAGCAGAAAAGGAATGCTGAGGTTTCTAGGTATTTCAATTTGAAAGAGGCAATATGTGGTAGATTTACTGATTAGACTATACATACCTGGCAATAGAGTTGAATTACAAAGTCAATTTCAGTATTGCTGTTAGCATCAAAAGTTCTCTATTTATTTACTGACCTGGTTGCTGAGCAGGCAATTCAGGGTCTTCCACTTCTTGGATTTCGTTGTGCTCTATTACACGCATTTCAATTTGTTCTCCTATGGGGAAGGAAATGAAAAAAAAAAGGAATTAAGAATGGAAAAAAAGAAAGGAAAGAAAATTATTACACACAGAACCCTACAGAGGCGTAGAGTAGATATTTCGCATGTGATTTACTCTGAGAAGCACTATATTTTTACCCTCTTCGTCGTTAGCATGTTCATCTCCATTTCCAATCTGTCCCTGCTGATCATTATCTGCTTCTTTTATATGAAAAAGAAACACCAATAAAAACATTTTTGGCCATTGTCAGGTTTATCACAAAGAAAATACATTCTACAATTTAGATTTGGATCTTTACCTTATAATTTAAGACAGAAGTACAGCCCTTCATATTTTGAGAATTGTTAGCAAAATGAGTTTTGGCTAACATCTCATTTTAAAAAAATTAGTCGCAAATGGCACCCATTTGACTCAACGTTCCTAACACACAGCTTTAAAGATACTAACTTTGAAAAAAATCGAAATCACGATTTCTAATTGTATCGTTGCCTTCATGAAACTTGATTATTTATTACATTGATCCCATCTCTATTTAGAATCACTCTCTTGATTATTTTTCTCTTTTACGTCTGCTACAACTTTACATATTGCCAGTTGCACCTTTGTGATTTCAATAATTTGCTCAGGTTCTTATTCTAAAATATTAAAAATTAAAAAAATTAAAAAGAGATGAGTTTACTACGATTTCAAACCAGTTCCACCCTTTTCCCCCTTCAAAGCATTAGGAGTAAAAATGACATAAGCTACTTAAAGAAAAATGGGTTGTTAATTTGATAAACCTTATAGTTTGTTCATTTCAAGTTTTGGAATATAATTAATTTTATCATGGCATTTTTGAATGGAGCTTAAAACTGTACCTTCCTGACTTTGTCCTCTGTTGAAAATAGATCGAACATTGGACCACAGCTTCCTCAGTTTTGCTTTCAACACAGCCTGCACCTAGACATTCGAAATACATGGGATAGTTTATTTCAGACTTTCAAGTAACGTCTTTAAAAGTCACTTTGGTTAAAGTCAACGATGAAGAAGCTAACAAAATCTGTCCGATCATTTACTTTTTTCATGCTTGTTTTGTATGTCAATCGTTACAATTTCAAAATTGACAGAAACTCACATAACAATAGGTGCTATTCCAAAGTAAGAAAAAAAACTGTTACCTGTGGAGTAGAAAGCGTATACAGCAATGGGTTGATAGCTGAGTTGATTGGCAGAGCGAACACTGCTATCCACACTGCCAGATCACCAGGAGGATCAAATGTTTTCTCGACGTGGGAACGGATGCCGATAGAAATGATTGGCATCCAACACAAGAAATCGGTCAGAATAATGAAGAATACTCTTTTGGCAAGTGCTCTTTCTCTTTTGGTCTGTTCATTTTGTGCTCTTGCTCGTATTTCACGGATGGTTCCTTGCCTACCGAGTCGTCTGCTCGACGACCATGACTTCCGCAAAATGGCAACATAAGCAACCATGATGAAGATGAATAGGAAAAAATTCAAAACGATGAAAATGGAAGTGGAGTATTCCCAGCCTTCTTCTAGTCGCGGGGAAAGTTGCAGGGGCAGGCACACTACATTATTGCCATAATACCTCTCGCTGAAATAGTGCATTCCGGATAAGGGAAGGAATGCCATAATGCCTCCCACCAGCCAGATAACTACGCACATTATGCGGGTCTGCCTTGGTGTAATTTTTGCAAAGGTGTAAGGAAACACGATGTTCTTGAGTTTGTCCCATGCGATCAGAGAAATCATCATCACTGATACTTCACTTGAAAAGACAGACATGGCACCATTGAAATGGCAAAACCAACCGGTGCGCCACTCATAGTCATGCAGGTAGTATTCCCCTGACCATTGCAGGTCTTTTATACCTACGATGATAAGGTATATGCCCATGATGCCGTCAGACACACCCAGATTCACCAACATGATAGAATGGACCACATTGTTATCAGGGAAGAAATACTGCCACCCGACTACAAACAAAGACCCTAACAACGACAGAAGACCGACAACCCATACAGTTCTCCTCGGAGCACGGTTACGGAACATGGAGTGGCAGCTTGCGAAGTTGTCATTGAAGGTATATTCGCAGTCAGCATCCTGCCTGAAAAGATCGAGATGGCAGCACATCAGGTTGGTGTCCAATGTTCTAGATTTCAAAAAAAAAGAAGAAGAATTAAAGAAGAAATAACACATTATTATTGCGTCGTTGAAAGCTATTAATAATAATTAATTAATTAATATTATAGACTGTCATTAAATGATTGTTTAAAGTGGTGATAGAAGGGAAGGATCGTTATGGAGTCTTACACTCTGATGATGTGCGTCAAATGCCTGAAAAAGCCTTTAGGGAGCTCAGCCATCAAGTTGTAGTGCATGAACCTGTAATATCAAATAATCATAATTTGAACATTAAGTTGGTGTATATCATAATTGACCTGACAAAAAGAACTTGATTTATTCCAAAAAATGAGTTTCCATGAGTAAGATTCATCTAGCTAATGTTAATGTTCAAACAAACTGTCAAAAAATATAATCAGGAGCCCTAACTGAGGATCTTAAATACGGACCCGAGCTTGATATTTTCTCAAATATTTAATAAAATTAATCAGTTAGCCTACGATAAGTCTCGTTTTGCTTTCTTGGAAATTTTTGATGGCCACTGATTTAGTGGACGTGGCAGCCCATTCAGTTGTGTTCGTTCGTTGTATAAAAGCCTCTTTCCGCACTCATCCAGGGAAAAATGACTTCGGTATATTTATTTCATCTTCCAAAATTACTATTCACGAGTTTTTCCTTTTACTTCAACAAAATCAAAAGAATACTCGCCTACACGTTATCTGATTTCAATATATGCAACTAAGTTTAGTTGTCTAGATGAACATCTGTCATTTGCCTTGAACTTACAGAAATCGCAGCTCGTGGGCATAGTTGAAAGTCGTGCTGCTAACGTTTTGTATTTTATTGCCGAAGATATTGCTGAAATGAAGAACGCAATCATTTACAATTAGCTCCTAAACGGGGGCTTGCAGTTGTCATATTCCTCATCCTAATAAATTTACATAGAGTTTCATTACAACTACACAGGTCTCCATGATGTTTGTTTCCGTTTCAATGAGATCCACCTTGGCTCACTAAAAGTTTGTTATATAAAAAGGCACATTTTTAGTGCAACATGAATTAAAGCAACATTGCTTCGTTGAGCAACGTAATTTGCACCAGGTCTGTTCTACATCATGTTAAATTTGTGAACTAAAATCTCAGATTTTGAACGCCTAATATATTCATTCCATCACTGCGAATATTCTAGAATGTGTTTGTATGTGATTAACTGTACTCACAGAGCTTTGAGGCTTTTGACACCCTTGAAAATTTTGTCAGGTAGAGCGTCTATTTTGTTCTCGGAGAGATATCTTAAACATCCGAAATGGATAATAAAAAAAATCTTATCAAACAGTAACATAATATGATTGGCTAGGACAACTTTAATTTGAGCAATAACGGAGTTAACATTAGAAAACATCACTGTATACGGTTTACAATCCAGATCATCGTGGAAAAAGGTTTTAACTCTAAATGTACTTACAAATCGAATAGCTCTACCAAGCCCTGGAACTGGTCTTCGTGAAGCTTCTCAATTTTGTTGTAGTCCATTTTCCTGAAGAAAGCATCATGGGCAGTTTTATCTTTAACTCTTCTGTTTTTTAGATAACTTCTATAGTTAAGGCAGGGAATGGCAATGTTTTCTAATAAAAAAGCTCCCAATTTTTATATCTTATCATATATTATTATATTAGATATATCTATGATGCGTTCAAAATTAACCACGTAAACTCTCAAGTTTATTCCCCTTGGCCTTCAAAGAAATCTGTTGTTAAAAGCTGTATTTGAAGAATCATTAGTGGTTCACTTCCTATTACAATAACAATGAAACGAATAGTTGAAAATAGGACCTGAAAAAATTCAGGCCCGTACGGTATTTGAACCCATGACCTCTGCGATACCGGTGCAGCGCTCTACCAACTTCAGTAGTGTTCTTAGCTGCGAGGATCTCTTTCGTTTCTTCACCGCAGTGCAAATATATGAATTTCGTATATCTAAAATCAAATTCTTTGATATTGTCAAATCGGATAACAAGGAAACAAAAAACCTTTGCCTTCCAGAAGTAAATTATAAGGTAAGTTGCCATTAACTAGGAAGTTTTTATAGTCACCAAGTGTTGTCATTATCAAGAAAATCCCCTAAGGATAATTTTTAATCTTCTGTGCCGATATAAATCTTACTTACAGAAATTCTACTGCTGTAATGTTCCTGAAAATGTACGGTGACAGATTTCCAAGTTCATTGTTTGACAAATCCCTTAAAACAATTATTACCACAGTTACAAAGATTTCATTTATGATAGAACTACCAACTGAACTCATAAAAAATAATAATCGGAGGGTTTTTTGCGAAGAGCGTTCAGTTGCTACCCCTTTTCAGTTTGTTTCCCATAAATCACTGAGACATTTTCCCAGGAAAAAGGTTAATGTTTTAAATTCCAATCCAAGAAGATCCTAGCATATTATGCAAGCTAAGAACGCCATAATGTAAAAATATGTTTACACTTTCTAGGGAAAACCCGAAATGACCCATCTTTCATTAATACAAACTTGAAAAACAGGTCAATCACGGAAATATCCATCGCCGACTTTTTTGGGGTGGAAACCTCTCACCGCAATAAAAAAACAAACAAGCAACAACAAAAAAATAAAATGGAAAAAACCGGTACAAAACATAAACAAACAAACAAATCTGGGAAAGTTTAGGTTGCTATTTAAACAGAAGCTTTTAAAGTTTAACATATTCAAGTACCTTAACATTGCTAACCAAAGCACAACAACTACATAAAATAGCATCCTCTGTTTCAACTGATCAGAGTTACAGATACAAGCTGGAAAACTTCATAATTTTCAGCTATAACGGCTGCGCTTTTGTGAACAAAAATGATTACCCAATAATCTTCTTGGTTAAATAACTATTTCACTTACAGATGTGTCAGCTTGGAAAGGCTGTTAAAAATTCTGTCTGGTAAACTCTTCAACTTGTTATTTGACAGATAGCTAATAAGAGTGACGAAAAGAGAAAATGTACTTTCAAGAAGTATGCAACCTGAAATTTCTAAGTAAAAATACATAAAGATGCCGGTCATCAAAAACAACCAAAGCGCAGTATATGGTAAGAGACATGGACAAAAAACAACTGCAACATTCATAACATGCATAAATTTCATTGTTGTATGTATGATCGTTGGCGATGAAAGTTTCAATACAGTAACAAACATATAAGTCAGGATGGTTCAATTTTAAAATATGTTATCAGTGCAGATGGGAAGACTGTAAAAATTTGCAATTGGAAAATATTTTCTTTATACATGCTTTAATTAGTGAAAGGAGAGAAAAGTATAATACTGGCAGAATCTGTGTAAAAATACGTTAGCAATCACGAGCTTTGATTTAACAGAAGAGGGAAAAATTTCAATTGATGCTGGAACACTTTATGCAGTTAAAAATGTTAGCTAAGTATGCTTTAACTTACAGTTTTTTCAGGTTTTCTAGATCTTGGAATAAATCAGGAGGCAATTCAGTGAAGTTGTTGTCGTGCAACCATCTGCGTTGAAATTTGTAGAAAAAAATGATCTGTACGTAAAATCTATTTAGTTTTACTAAAACAGTTATTTACTGCCTTGTTTTATGGTCACTGACGGGAAGGGAAGAAAAGAGAAAAGAAAAAAATTAAATTGAAAAACAAGTATAGACGGTGCGGTAGGAAAGGGGAATGCTGCTTCGTTATGAAAACAGTTTTCCTTTGATACCTGCATAATTTGATGCACAACAAAGAAAAAAACCATCTATTATCTCTGACTATACAATACAACGCAATGGGATGCAATGCAATGCACAAAAATACAATTCAGGATATAACCATCTCAATAACACAATAAAAACTTTACCAAACGACTACTGTTCCCAAACTCGATGCAATGCCACAAAATCAAAAGGGGTTTTTCTCAGTTCGGAAATTTTAATATGTGCAAAGTACTTTGCGTTAGAGGACATAACCTTGAAGGTCTCTTGCGGCTTTAGTCAGAATTGAGAACGTTTGAGAACTTTAAGATTTGAATAACTATTTTAGTGCTGTTGTCTTATCTGTCTCTGTTTTATTTTCACATCATAATTCAGCAGATCACGATATGTCCTGATCCAACCAAAGGAATTAATAAATTTTTACCGCGCATAATTTTGTTTTCAGGATAAGAATTCCTTCCACAACAGTATTGATACATTAACTTACAGTTGCTCTAGCCTTGTCAAGTTTTTGAAGGCACCTCCATTCAATCCTTTCATGTCGTTGTCATTCAGGCGTCTGCGTTGTTTATCGTATAAAACTGATCAATATTTTTAATATCCACCAGAAAATTATCTGTTTAGGTAGGGGTACTACTGAAACCTTTCAGGGGCTGTGGTTGAAGACAGTTACGATTGTTTTGAAATGTGAGCAAAAGTCGGCATCAGTGTCATTGAGTGAGGAGTTGGTTGTGCTAACTTCACCCGTAATACTCGTTTTACAACACAACAACATATTTGAATTTTACATATATATGGAAATTTGTTACCGATGGAAATTTGAATGATTTTTTTTATTTAACGTAAGCACTTCGTGATGCCTTTCATACAGAGAATGAAATCTCGTAAGCGGTCAGTCCTGAACAAAGGTCCAGAATGCAACAGTCGATGCATGATCTTCGTGATGTTTGATGTAAATTCTTAATTTGCGAAGCGAAACGAATAATCGGATAAATCTGAGATCTCACGCATTATTTCATCTCTGAAAATCATCAAAAAACTCTTTGGGCACCATTGTATTTTTGTCGTGGATGCCCTTTTAAGATCTGCGACTGTAACAAGTTTCTCTCAACTACACCTGTCACGCAATTCTTGCTCTAGGCGGTCACTGGAATGGAATGGAAATTTCACGTTGAGGGATACATGTAGGCGAAAAATCGAAGAGAAAATCGTCCCGTTTCTTTCTTCAGTCGTTTATTACTTTGGAGATTTGCTAAAATCCGCAGATATGGCTTTTGTACGGCACAAAACATTCATTAGTCTATAATTTAATTGTTTATCATTATCATTGCTCATTTTAAGGGTTTTAAAGTCACATGCAGCGTGTTGGTTGACATTACTACAAGTTCCAGTGTGCTACAACTTCGGCCTTTACAGAAGAAAAATTCTGCGCCCTCGCTTGAGAGCAAATATCAGTAGTTCTATCAGACTAAAAACTGTGCTTCTATTCCGAAAATAAAATTAAAATAGTGTTGTCGTTGTCACTTACCGCCATCGAACATTTCCATGCAGAACTCCGCTAAGCTAACATCTGTTGCGTGACCCGAAGACTCTCCGTAGGAATTATTCAAGCGCGTTGTTCATGCTGTCTGTTAGATAACAATTTCAGAATAATCTGCAGATCCCTATGATTATTTGCCTGCTTCGATCGTAAAATATCTGCATAATTTTTTTCAAGCATTCTTTTACTACATATAAATCTACATCTCTCTAGATCCAGTGTTGCCGGCGTTTAATTGCGTGACTTGTAAAATTTATTAAGAATGAGCCAGCAGTAATTTGACCAGCAGGCTTCCTGCAAATTTCCCTTAATGAAATCCCAAGACATGGCCAGTTGTTTTCGTGAGCAAAGGCAATAAATAGGAAAGAAAAGTGAGATGCAAATGTCTTTATTTTATTGTAGTTTTTTTTTTTTTAACTTAATAGCAGCTGTACCCTCTCCTGCAGTCTTCGTCTAAATTTTGCAAGGTCCCTCCTTATCTTCTGCCTTGTTCGGTCAGTTTCGACATCTGAAGCTAGATCATTGGCATCGGCCTCTTCGTCCTCATTCATATTAACAGAGGGGGACCTTGTCAACCAACCAGTTTTTGTTACGGCACATAACTGGCTGAAGTATCGAGCGATTTGCTGCTGTATCAACCGGTTAGTCTTAGACAACATTTCTGGCTGGTGTCGTCTCTTAAACTCGATATTTGGGAAGTCACATTGGAGGCGGTTGCCTTACTAGTTTCCTCCCCTGTCCAGCACACGTCTAGGAGATAATTCTTTGCTTTCTGAGAAAAGGTAGCTGTTTTTTGTGTTTTCCAACGAGCCCATCCAAAGTCCACTTGGCTAGTTAGAGATTGTTCGACAGAATTTTACCTGGGGTCCGACCTTGAACGTAGCCATCCCCTATAGAATAGACCGATTTTTTTTCAGCTTCACTGTGTTTGTCTTTGTTAGGGTGCTTTTGGATGGCAGCCAATGACTGAAACGTCTTGATACATAATTCCTTTAAGCAAGAATATCTCGCTTTGTTTTTCTGTCTGTGACGGATTGGGTATAGTTCTCGCGATGACCCGCGTTCAGAAATCTGTGCATGTTGCTGATAACCACCCGCTTCTACGATTAGTTTGCTGAAGGTTTCTAATGTGATGAGCCCAGTGAGACCCTGAGGTACTCCAAACTGTGCCAGTTGGTCTAAAGAACTGTCAGCAGTTCTTAAGTCAGAGGGAGGATCGCCCACCCCTATTTATGTGAGCGCCTCCACAGTACCTGCTTATCCCTGGCAATCGTATGATATAAAGTTCATCTCAGTCACAAATCACCAGTTAGGAAAACTGATGTTCAGATAAGCGCTCTCCTCGCCCTTCTTCCTTATTCATTGCCGACTCTAAGATAGTAGTTACAGTGCGCGTTCTATTAGGTTTACAGTCACCTTGCCACCAGGAAGACTCGCCACCAGCTTTGATTTCTTCTATCATCTGCAGATTCACGTCCCTCCCAACTCGATGTCTCCGATTTTTATGAGGAGGATACTGGCACTTACTAACCCGAAGGTCTGAATCTCACACCAAGTTGTGCACGATATTTGAGGTAAATCGTGAAATCGCGGCCTTCGTAATCTCCAAAGAAGCCAATACGCGCTAGAATAAGCTTCTTCTCGGACGAAACGTATGTTTGGGACACATCTACGTCTCTCGAATGTTTTTTTTTAAGCTGTATACCCACGAATTTAGAGGTATGAGCTGTTGCCGTCCCTGGCCAGCGCGAGAAAAATAACATTTGGTTCTACAGTTAGTTGCAAATGAACAAGACAACTGCACCATCTTGACTCTATCAATTCGAGCGTTAGGTTGAATTGAGGGCTTTTTAGACACTCGATTTCTTATATAGCATCTCTATGAAGACGTAATACAACTGATAAACCTACACAACATAGGATTAACAATGTCTGTTGCGCTGTTGCGAAAAGGGGGAAAATATTACGGGAAGTGTAAACTCTCTAAGAGTTTCAGAGACGTTTCAGAGATGTCTATCTTCGGCTGTCACAAAAAATTGACCCCCACTTAAATTTACTGAGAAAAATGAACTTACCAACTCCTTGTTGAAAAAATTGGAATTTATTTGACCGATACGCCGGGTTTTTCAATTTTGCTTTTTCCTCGGGCTGCTATGAAACAGTTCATAAATTGACCAGTGAATAAAATGTTTTGAAATACCGCTCGGAATTTGCCTTTTTTTCTGCGTGCAAATCAAGGGTAGACAAAGTTTTTAAAACATTTGACAAGAATTTCATGGGGTTCACCTCGATAATTTTCGTCGGCCAGAGTCAAGACGCGCCAAGTTAAGCGACTTCGCTCTCCAGTAAAATAATTTTCCAAAGAATAAATGTGGCGAGCGTGAGGAAACCCACATTTTTTTCATTAGTGTGATCAAAGCCTAATGATGTACCTAAATAGATAGTTACGGTATCAAACCATTGATTATGACATGTGTCACTGCACGAACTGAGAAAGTAAAAACTTGTATTTATCTTCATCAGTCTTCTTGGCTTCATCAAGGATTTTTTCAAGTAGGGTAAATAAGCTTGCTCATATACAAATAGTAAATAAGTTGTCTCTTTACTATTGAAGCCAGTGGATAGAATTCGCCAGGTGCGCCTACGGTGTTATACATGCATGACATTTTCCGGACTTTACAGGTACGAGTACGTGATCCGTTTGAGGGTCACAGATTTATAAGATGTGTAAATATTTGACCTCTCAGCATCACGCAATGTCTCTAGTTTACAGAGGTCTTGGAACGTTTAATTATATGGATTTGCCTTCTGCGGGTAGAAGGCTACAAGCGAATTTCTCAGGTGTAATTGCCTTGGATTTCTCAATTGATGTTGTCGCAAACACAGTTTTTGGGAGTCACGAAACAAAAAAAACTTATCAGGACCTAGTTTCATGTTCTAATGGAAATAAATAGTAAATAAAAACACGCTCTCTTGAGAAATAAAGTTATAAATAACGGGGGTTCTCTGAAGCAAATAGTGATAGAAAAGGATTTCAGTTCTGGTCAATATTGTCTTTTCATAGCCTACTTCCAAATCTGAGGGAACGCGGTGAGGGAATGAAAAACATAAATGCGTGATAATGCAAGGAAGAGAATGGAAATACAAAAAAATAAAAAGGAGAAAACATAGGAACCCGTGTTGCAGCGTGCAGATATCTTTTGAGCCAGACCTACACACCTAAGCCCGACACCACTCAGAGAAACTCGAAAGAGTGCTGTATATGAACTGGCTCGCACGTGCACGCAGGAAAGGCCATGACAATCAGCGAAAATAATAGCAAATGCAGATGATATTTGCAGTCAAAAAACAGGAAAATAAGATAACAGAAGGATTAAGAACTTCCTAGAGGTGTCTTCTTGAAAAAAAAGATAAACAATTTTTACTTTTCATGAAAGGTCACGCAGTCACGCTACATATACTATTTCTTTACGTGGAATTTCTCGATGGTGGAAAGTGGAAAAGCCATTCTTATTTTCTGGAAACATGGTGCAGTTAATGAATTTATGGGGTTATTGATGTTTCCTATCAAATAAGGGGGGCAGAGTTTCCCGTCATCCGCGGTATGGAAAAGCCGAAGTTGTTACACTCGGGAACTTGTACGTCAACAAGCACTCGACATGTGACTTTAAAATCTCCTCTCCTGTTGTAGTTTCCTTATTGTAAACTGTGCGATAATGATAATGGACGATCAAATTATAGGCTAATGAATGTTTTGTTCTGTACAAGAGCCCTATTTCCTAATCTTAGCAAATCATCAGAGTAATAAACGACTGAAGAAAGAAACGCTACGATTTTCCCACTGATTTTTCGCATACATGCTTCTCTCTAAACGTGAAATTTTCCGTTCCTACAAAAATCTCGAAAGTTTTTCACATTTTTCACCTTTCTTGATCAATCATCTTGTATAAAGAGCTAAAAAATGTAGGTTTATTTTGTCAAGTGACCGCCTAGAGCAAGAATTGCGTGACAAGTGTAGTTGATAGAAACTTGTCACAGTCGTCGATTTTAAAAGGCATCCCAGACAAAAATACGATAGCGCCCAAAGATTTTTTTGATGACTTCCTGAGATGGAATGGTGGGTTATAAAGGGTAATTAAGATTAGTGTTGTAGCTTTCTGGCAACGGGAGATAATTGACCTCAAAGTTGTCAAATATTTGGATGAATCGAAAAGTCTAAAAACACAGTCGTATATTTGCCTCTGTTGATTGACAAGCCGTCAATCAAATTGACTGATACTTGCAGCGGACATCAACTAAGGATGTAAAAATGTTTGCAAATCCTCAGAGTAATTGGTTAAATATCATCGCAGTGAGAGCTTCATACATTTTACCCATTTTGAAGCGATTTCCTTGGTGAAAACCAAGAAAAACCGGGGGGTGGTCTATCTCCCCCCGGAAAAAACCAAAACTGAAACGAGTTTGTATTTTTTAATTTTGGGATAAACCCTTTAAAGTGGCAAAGTTTCATTGAAATCGGTGAGATGGCATGTAGCACGACTGCCCGGTGCTCTCGTGGAGAAGCTTTTAAGCCTATATTGCATCATGTAAACTAGATCCTGAATTAATTTTACTCGCGGATCGTACAGAAAAAAGTTTAACTCACAAGAAGGTTAACTGTGTGTTCTTGTCGAAGATTCCTGGAGGTAAGTGGTGCAATTGCATTTCAGACAGGTACCTATCAATTCAACGAAAATTTAGCGGTGCATAGTACAGAGCTAGGATGCATATAAACTAATAAACCAGATGACTAGTGGAATGAATTCAGTTTAGAAATGCAGCCTGAGGAGTGTGCAGATAACTCAAACTGGTAATTTTTGCGATTTTACCGTGAGATATTTTTGCTTAAAATTAAAATGGCGCAGCTGTAAGGCCTTCAAAACAATCCGCCTGCTACTCCGGTCCCTCTGCCACCTTTCGGGCCTCATCCCATAATAATGAACTGAAGCAGGCTTTCTTTTTGGCGGTTCTTCTTCTTATAATTCGTGATTTCCCCGTTTCCTTTTGGAATTTTTTTGTTCCGAAGAAAATATTTAAAGGCTATTTTCTTATCTTTCCTAATTCTTTCCTAACTTAAATTCTCGAATACATCACCTTAGTTTCCTCAGAAGAAGAACCCTCTAAAATCTCCCCTGCTCTCAACGAGTGGCCTCTTAGCTCGGTTGGTAAAGGCACCCTACTAGCTTCAGAGAGGCGCGAGTTCGAATCGTGTGGAAGCCTGAATTTTCCTTAAGGATTCTTAGTTTCTGCAATTTCGTATATTGCAGCTCAACTACCAGGATAATTGCTCAGTATTTTTACTGCATACTCTTTTTTCAGATTAAAGTCTTCCTGATGTCGCCACAAGATCTGTTAGTCTCGGCGTATAATCATAGCGTCAGAGAGGAATTTTTTTGTTTTTCAAGCCAAAAATGGTACACACACAGGTCATTTAACAGTTCAGTGAGTTTTAAACTATAAAGACAAATATCGTTTGATGTCTGTCTTTAGAGGAAAAATCTACTTACAGCCACATCAATTTAGCATTTGTAGCGAAAATATCAGATGGCAAAATCTTCAACGGGTTTGCTGACAAGTCTCTAAAATATAAAAGCCACAAATGATTAGAAATGCAACCAGGAACTTGTTTCGAATTATCTAGTAAAACATCCATATCCATAACGAATTTGTCATTGTCATGAACCATATTCAATAAATGAATTGGTAGAGGAATAAAAAAATTAATGGTTATTCTTCAGAACGCTATCAACTCAAATCGCCTCCTTCGCATGCCAGAATGTGTCACTATATATATCTGAAGAATTACACCTTACGTTTACCCACGGTTACTCCCTCAGGAATTACAAGATTGTGATTATAAATATAGATATTGACACTTAGTCTACCAAACAAAACGTCGTAATTCAGCCTATTCTGAAAGACTGAAATATATTAAATAATGATACCGATTTAAATGTATACCGTGCAACAGAAATGATAAAAAATTGGCTCCAAAATTGTGGCGGTTTATTAGAGTTAAAACTCTGTCAGCGATGAAGCTTGACGCAAGCGCGAGTTAAGCTATTTCACCATTAGCAGAAATATTGGACAAGATGGCGGCCACCCTTGCGCATTTCGTCCATAATGGCGTCCAAATAAAATAAGAAACTGTATGGAAATTTGTAAAATTTCTAAAATATAACAATCAGGAGCTCATGGTCTCGTCTGCTCTCGATCGAGACATATTCAGTACTGATTCTGCTATTCATCAACCCTCACAGTGTCTCGACAAATAAAAACCACTTACTTCCCGAGCCAGTTCTTTTGTCATTGTTCATTGACCTAAGTCGCCATATAGTTCTTCAAAATTCGTCGTTCTCCATCCCAAACACTCGCCTATTAGAGGAAAGTGCATCAATGAAGTCAACTGCTCTCGATCAAATTGACTGCTAATGAGTTCGAAGCGTCAAAATATCCTGTAAAATTGTCATTTCCTCCCATCGAAAAACTTCCCAACGCGCCAGAATATCCCTTATTTTCCATGTTGAGTAAGTGACGAGACGCCATGTTGAAAACTATGACTGAAATGGTTAAACACGAGCAACGCTGATCTTCGAATCATCGGCCATATTTGTTTATATTCTTGCTGGGAAATAAATTAGTTCCCAGGTCCTTTTTGGAATAAAAATATGTCAGGCGTTAAATGCGAATTCAGTAGTCTTGGTGCGAAAATTTAATAAAGGCAAATCAAAATTCGGACATCAAGTCATCGCTCCGCCTCGAAAAATCCCAAAGATTTACTTGCAGGTCTTCTTTTCTTTTTCTTTTCATCGAATAGAAGATCTGCGGTGCTCAAATTGTGTAAGTCATGGTACGAAACACGCTTCTTTGCAGATCGAGCCGTGATCGCCGCCATATTACTTGAAATAGAGCTTCACTTGAAAAAATTCTGTTTGGAGAAGTGGAATTATCATCTAACTCTCAGTATTTCTCAGGTTGTGCGAAGTGAGAGCGTTCCTTTCAATGAAATTTTATCCAAATATTCTAAAGGCTTGCTTTTTCCTCTTTCAGTTTATTTATGGTGGCTTTGTATGATGTCAATTCGCTCTCCACCTCCGCCAGCTTAAGTTTAAGAACTCCCTGATTACCACAAGCTAAATGGGTTGGTTGGGTCAGTTGATTCTTGATGAGACTGATTTCCGACCGGATTCTATGGGCCTTAGAAATAATTTCACTTTTCGACGAAGCTGTTAGTTGCCCGGTGCTACGCACAAATTTCTCGTCCTCCTCGTTCGTGCTTTTGGATACCACCTGAACGTCGTCATCTGTCGTTTTTAATTCTTGAGGTTCAGTAGACTTAATGCGTACAAAATCTTTGAGCGATTACTTCAAATTGCCAGGGGTTACAGACAGAGACTGGGCCTTACTTGATATTTCCATTATGGCTTTGCCTAACTGTTTAAGTAATATTTGAGCCTCTGCTAACGGAGCCGCTTGAGGCTCGTTTGAAGTGGATGGATTGCCGCCAGGAGATCATCTTTTGCAACAAAGAAGCCATCCGAGATTGTTGTGTTTCAAGCTCTGAAGCGCTGAGGGACAAGTCGTCTCCCTCTCTCTCCAGATTTCCTTGAGTTAGTGGTGTGAAACAGAAAGGAAGTAATTGGCATGAATGCAATTGACTTCTACTTCTGCAGGGGAACGCTCACAGTCCTCTGTATAAGCTCTTGAGTGTTGGTAGTCATACCTTTCCCAGGCTTGAAGTGTATCTTGTAGTCCTACTGCTGAAGTCGCTACAAAAGCAGTCCGCAGGATGACTTTCTTACTGAACACATACTGGTGGTTAGGCTCTTTGCCAATGAAAGCAGCCAAAAATTCCTTTTCGATCTGTGTGTACTTTCTCTCTACCACCGGGAGTGCCCCACTCGTAGATGTCACCGGTTGACCATGCTGCAATATTAAAAAGCCAAACCCATCCTTGGACGCACCTCCTTGGCCCTCTGCTGGTCCACTCTCGCTGAAGTACTTAAGTAGCTGGTGGTCTTTGATCTTTTGGAAGGCATCTTTCCACTCATGAGTCCAGATCCGCTCGCATTCCTGCGTATCAGGCGGTGTGTTGCTCTCACATTTCTGAAAGGTTTTGTAGGAATTTGGAAGGGTACAGCTCTAGCCATAATAAAGTCTTCACTGCTGATGCATCTGCTTGCTGCTCCATCTTGACTCTTGCATCCAGTTTCCGCTGACCTACCTTCAATCTATTCTTCGTCATCTCAGGTCCAATGAATGGTTCTTTGCTTCATTTGAATTTGAACTTCTCCATTTTCAGGTTGAGGAATTTTGCTTCACAGTGGTCTTGCTCTTTTACGACTGAAATTTGTTTAGCACTCTTAAATTTTGTTCGTTTTACCTACGCAGTAATCAGAACACAACTCTAAGACTTTAATGATCCTACCTTTCTCTTCCTTCGAGGCAAATGGTAAAGAGAGAGAGAAAAGAGAGACTTCACAAGTTTTCTCTGATAATTTGTATGACGAGCAAAATTTAAAGATTTATAAATGGGAATGGCAACTATCAATCCAGGAAAAGAAACTTTAATCTGTGCATTACATTGATTCAGAAAAATCCTAAAATCCTAGCACATTATCATTCCAATTCAAACAAAATTCTAAAAACAATAACTAATTTATTCTTGATTGATGAGATAGACTGCAAACTTACAGCCAATCCAGTTGGATGTTATTACTGAAAATTCCTGATGGTAATTTCTTCAACTGGTTGTTGTTCAACAACCTACCAAAAGTAATGGAAAGGGGTGTTGATTACATTGTGCTAGTCAGCATGGTGCAGGCACTGTGTATGATCGAAAATGTCGTATTTTGTTAATGTTATAATCTGCTGATAAAGTCATATTGTCCAAGAACCCGTGTCTTCTTTTCGGGTTTACACATAGAGACTTAGGGTAGCACTATGATTTGTAACCTGGTACAAAACGTATTGAGACTCCTTGGCTGTTTTGTTTTGTAAGGAGTGGAAACAACTAAACGCTTTACACATGCCTTTTCTCCCTCCTCCCATTACCTATTGTTATAATACATAAGGATTGAAATTACACACTGTTCATGATTCAGAATAATGTCCATTATAAGCCAGGCGACATTGATTGCAAGGAGGGGAGGGTAAGATACCAAAATATCTGGATAGTTTTGTTCAAGTTTACATACATAGTGTCTTCACTTCTACCAGCACAAATGATAACGCCATCTTTAAACTTAATTCGCTAATTTAAGTCTAGATGTAAAGTCCTTTTCTGTTTAAAGTTGCTTGTTTAAACTTTCAAAATCTCGAAGGTAAATCCCTCAGATTGTTGTCCTTTAGACCTCTAACACAAAAAAATGGATGTCGGGAAGAGTCCTTAGAAAGTAGGTCTAGTGATGTTTTAAGCCAAAGGTGAAAGCGGCGTAACATGCCTTTGGCTGTATCTGAGGGACCTCTGCCAATTGTACTAATTCACTGACCAAATCAGACACGTTCTCACTGACGATTCCTTCAGATACTCTCGTGAGCCTATCAGTTAGCATCCCCCTGATGTAGTTTCCCTTTGATTTCGAGTGGTCTTTCTCGAGTGACGTATGAGCGGGACCGACATGTAAGTACCTTGATTATTTTGTTTAGGTTCCGTTTTTTCATAATTATGGGCAAAAATTACAAAAGAACGTATGTCTTTCATGTTCTATATGAGGTCGTAAAACATACCCACTAACAAACTTATTTTGTTTAGAATCGGGTGTTTTCTCTTTATTGTTCCAGACTAATGCCTAACATTTGTTAATGAGCTACCCAAAAATTCAGGAAAAGGGTAAAATCTCGCTCAGTCATGTATTGTAGTCTTCAAAATGGGCTAATCTGCTTTGGTTTGGGTTTACCCCAGCGTAGTCAAAACAAACAATGGGAATTTTAAAATACTACCATTTTGCCTCGAAATTTCGCTTGTTACAAGTATCTACACTCATTTTGCCGCTGTCTCCACAGTGTGTTCATTTGAGCATGCGCAAATGAAAATACTACGTTTAGATTTATATTGCCAGGTATAGTCATGGTATAAAATCTATATCCTGTTTAAAATAAGTTGTCTAAGACCTCAGAAGAGATGATCAAAATGGAACCGGCATGTTGGTCTTCTGTTCAGGCTACATGCCAAGGACCGGGGCCAAAATTCATTCGAAAGTTTCGATCTGCGAGTACTTCCCTTCTGCCAACCGGATCGAGCCACTTCTACACGTCACTGGTTGACCATGCAGCATCAGTAAAAAACCAAGCGCATCCTTAGACGCTTCTACTAGGTTCTCTGCTAGGTCACTCTCGCTGAAGTACTTGAGTACTGGTGCTTTGGAAACAGTTTCTTTGATCTTTTCGAAAACATCTTTCTGTTCATGAGTCCAGAGCCACTAGCAATCTTGCGTGTCAGGCGGCGCATTGGCTCTCACATTTCTGAAACCTTTTTGTAGGAATTTTGAAAGGTACTTCACTAGCTCTATAAATCTCTGCACTGCTAGCACATCTTCGTCCTTACAAGTCCATTGGATGGCACTTCGCTTTATTTGAATTCGAACTTCTCGTTGTTCAGTTTGATCTGTTTCGCTCAACAACAGTCTTGCTCTATTAAGATTGAGATTTATTACGCGCTCGAAATTGTCTTAGTCCTGCCTATGCAGTAATTATTCCACAAATCTAAGCTTTTATCGATTCTACCATTATCTTCTTTGGAAAAGCGTGGGAAAATTTAAAACAATAACACAAAATGTCTCAACAGTTTTATTTTAAAATATATACGGCGTGTTCATTTGCGCGGGTGCAAAGAAGAACTCTATGTTCCGGTTTATATTTCCCGGTATAGAGATGGCATTAAATAAAAATTATGTTTAAAATAATTTTTGTGAGACTTCCAAAAGAATTATTAAGAGAGAACCGGCATGTTGGTCTCCTGATCAGGCTTCGTAAAGCAAAATTTGCATGCCTTTCAGTCAGTGATATGTACTCTGTGGCTTTGAACTCTAAAGCGGTAGATGGGTGAAGACATTGGTCTACATTCAGCTATTCCATTATGCTTATGCATAGTCCTGCAAGTAACTTGTTGGCTTTGACAATCGTTCAGATCCAGTGGTTCTGGCATTCACTGCTTGGGGTTTGTCAGGTGTTACAGACAGATACTGCGCCTTACTTGGCACTGTCACTGTGGTTTTGCCTAGTTGTTTAGGTCTGCTAACGGAGGTGCTTGAGGCTTGTCTGTAGTTGCTTGGAAGGACGGCCTCTTGGAGATCATCATTTGAATCGGGAAGCTATCAGAGATTTTTTTTTTTAATTTGTGAGTTGGGTCACAAATCGTCTCCCTCTATCTCTGGTCATGGGTTTCATTGAGTTGGTGGTCTGGAACGGGAAGGAAGTGGTTGGCATGCATGCGTTCGACCACTCCAGCGAGGGAAAGCTCACAGTCCTTAATAACAGCTCTTGATAGAAAGTCGGCTAGAAGCTTGCCTTTCCAGGCTTGTAGCGTATCTCGTAGTCATACTGCTGAAGTCGCGACAACGTGCTCTAGTCTCTTGGGTGCTGATGCCAGTGGCATTGTATAATGAAGACCAGGGCTTTTTTATCAGTCCGCAAACTGACTTTCTTACCGAACACATATTGGTGGTTATGCACCATGCCAAAAACTGGGACAAAAAATTACTTCTCGATCTGGGAATACTTCCTCTCTGCCAACGGAAGCGCCCCTCTTCCAGATATCACTGACTGACCATGGTGCATCAGTAAAAAGCCAAGCCCATCCTTGGACGCATCTCCTTGGCCCTCTGTTGGTCCACTCTCGCTGAAGCACTTGAATACTGGTGGTTTTTTAACAGCGTCGTTGATCTTTTGGAAGGCTTCGTTTCACTCATGAGTCCAGATCCACTAGCATTCCTGCGTGTCAGGCGGTGCAGTGGCTTTCGCATTTCTGAAAGTTTTTGTAGTAATATAAAAAGGAACTCCACTAGCCCTATAAATCTTTGCACTGCTGGCACATCTTTGTTATCAAATGCCCAATGAATGGCACTTCGCTTCATTTGAATTTGAACTTCTCCTTGTTTAGTTTGTTCAATAACGGTCTCGCTTTATTATAACTGAAATCTGTTTAGTGCTCGAAAATTCTATTTTTGTCCCGCCTATGCACTAATTGTTCCACATTTCGAAGACCTCATCGATCCTACCATAATTTGCCCTGAAGGCCAAGGGTAAACCAGAGTGGATATCGAGGGCTTCTGTCCCGATACATGTCATGAAAGTCGCCGCTCGATGATCGTTTAGCTACGAGTGTAAATTGAGGGTAAATTCCATGTTTGACGCCAATTTTTTCAATTCTTTTCTAGGTACCACAAGATCTAGCCTCAGAAGAACTCAGACATTAGAAGTGAAGATTTTCTGAGATGTTTGAGGCTTGGAACTGATGCGCTACTGCTGCTATCTGCTTGCGACGTCATATTTGTCAAGGTTCTCTCGCCGTGTCTCGGTCCAAAGTCAGCTTAAACTTGACCAAAAAACAGGTTAAAAGCTGCTATATGTCTTGCTGAGAGTTTCCTATGCCACACGTAGCGTTACCGGCCCGAAATATCAGAAAAGACAAGGTAAACAGGTTTGATAGCCTACCTGCTCCAAAGCACATAGTCCTACTAGGCTACGATACCTTGCAGCACAGTCCTACCACTACAAGACCCTTTTACAATTTGGGAAGGAAAACAATGCAACAGCCACAATTTTACGCAAGTGGGCGTTCATACTCAGCATTGGATGTTTTCTTGTGATAGTATTTAACAAAAATTATTTTCGGATTCTCTTTAATTGAAACTTGCGATCGGTATCCACACCTGATTACAAACAGTTATAACGTAAATGACGAAAATATGTGACCAGTGGGTATATAGCTTCGCATAATTACTATTCTAGCATATTAAATAGCGTTGACCTTGTTTACACAAATAGTAGTTTTATTGTAGAAATGAAACTTGCAACCCGTATTCAAATCCGATGATCACATCATCTGGATCAAATGCACTGTGAATGGGACTTAGAGTTTTCTTGTTGTCCCCCAGACCTCGTAGATTAATCGAAAATAGGCACATTCCATGCGCTTAATTTCGTACGGTAAGTACTACAGACTTAACCGATGAGCGTATTTGACCTTCAGAGCATTAAAAACCGGACGCATTAAGAGAAACTTTGAACGCAAAAAGACGCAACTCGGATGCTAGGATAAATTAGTAACCTGCGTACTTAAAATGTGACCAGACTTTGCTTTGATTTGTAACATATGGTGGCTCAAGACTTTGTAATGTTGCATCATTGATGTTCTTTTTTATCTTCCCTCGTAACTTACAAACTCCTTATTGTCAGCAGATTTCAAATCAAGCACGAATGAACGACACAACGAGACGCACGGAAAAAGAAAGGCCTCTAGTGGCCATTCCCTTCCTCCACTGCCCTCTTTTCCCACCTCGACGCTCTAAAGGGAATCAGGCCGAGAAGTGCACGAATGGAAGACTATATCGTAATTATTAAGGATTAATTTGATATTAGTTTAAATAACTACCAAGTAATTGAAAACTGCATTCTTCCTGTATGTAAGATAGATTCCAAACTTAACTTTTTATATCGCGGGCTGACGGGTATATTAAGACTGATCTATCACGCAATAATACAAATTTGTAACTTTGGCGACAAAGCCTGATTATTATTATACTTTAAATGCTTATAGCTGTTCCTAATATTATCTGCCTATGTCCGCTTGTCTTCCTTTACAAAGTCATTAGGCCTGGAGTAAAACCATTGAAAATACTCCTCACTCTTTTACTTACAGTTGTAATAGGTTGATATTGTTATTGAATATGTCTTTTGGCAAGTCTTCCAACTGATTGTTGTCCGAGAACCTGTCAGCAAATGACGACAGTTAGTGTAGGTAACAAGTATTCAGCTACTTTATCAATCTAAACGCATTATAATTATCATCAATACTCTATATATATCAATACTTGTGGTGGATAGGTGAGGACAAGGCACATTCTTTTGTCTTGGTAAGGAATAACATCAAAAGTAATTGTTCACAATGGAATAAAGAGACTGTATTGAATGAAGCTGGTTCTTTATTCGTTTCCAGAGCATTTGGAATGAAAATACCAAAGGATATTTGACCACGAAATCTCTGCAAAAAATTCTCTCAGGCTCAATTTTGTTAACCTTTCTAACCCTGTTAATAGCCAGTCAGCCCTCACAAATTAAAGAAACTTCACGGGAAAAAAAGCTCCGGAAAAGGACGTGTAGCATCTTGTTTTCTATTAGTGTGGTCGCTTCGTAGGTTTAAAGCTGCTCGTATCCCAAAGTCTACTTGATCAGAAATATTATCGATGGTGGGCCTGAACCTATTAAGCAAACATTAAAAAAGAAACCTTGAAAGTCTTCAAGTGAGTAAACTGTGGTGATGAGCGTATATAGGTATCTTTACTAATTTAGCCCTAAGCCCTCACAAAAACCAAAGACGTTTTAAAAACACAAGAAAACCAGACGCAAAAAACCAGAGAGAACATGGTAATCACAGCTTTGATCAGGTTTCATGGCCTAACAGCTCAAAAGGACAAGGTCTACTTGGTCACGTGACTCCACACCACATGCTTACTATTATTTCTCTATTCTCTCGGAAAGTAGCAAAAAAACCACAATATTAGCACTTTTGAGGTAGCTTGAGTTCAAGAACTAACTGTGAACGTTTCGCACGAGTAAAGTTAGGCTCTGTGTGTTCAATGTCTTCTTCTTTTTCGGACTTTGGATGGTCTAAGTCAGCCATTCCATTATTATTATGCATAGTCCTGCAAGTTGATGGCTTTGACAACTGTCCAGATTTAGTGTTTCGGGCCTCCACTACTTGGGGCTCGTCAGGCGTTACAGACAGAGATTGGGCCTTGCTTGGTATTGCCACTGTAGGTTTGTCTAGCTGTTTAGGTAATATTTGAGCTTTTTCTTAACGGAGGTGCTTGAGGCTCTTCTGGAGTGGCTCGGATGGATTGCCTCTAGGACATCATCTTTTGTAACAAGGAAGCCTTCCAGGATTGTGTCTTTCAAGCTCTGAACGTTGGGGAACAAGTCGTCTCTCTTTTTCTGGATTTCCTTGAGTTAGTGGTATGGAACAGGAAGGAAGTGACTGGCATTAATGGATTCGACCTCTGCTTCTGCGGGGGAACGTTCACAGTCCTCTATGTAAGCTGTTGACAAAGTGTCAGCGCACCTTTCCTAGGCTTGTAGCATATTTCGTAGTCATACTGCTGAAGTCGCCACAAAAGGGTGCTCTAGCCTTGGGAGCTGATGCTTGGGGCTCATGCCTGAAAAAGACCAGGGGCTTTTGATCAGTCCTCAGGATGACTTTCTTAGCTAACACATATTGCTGGTTACGCTCCATACCAAGGACTGGGGAAAGAAAATTGCTTCTCGATTTGTGAGTACATCCTCTCTGCCATCGGGAGCGCTCTACTTATAGATCGTTTTCACGTGACGTCACAGAATTAATTTCCGCCATGTTGATGCACATCTAAGTCTCGTGTTTCAGTCATTACTATATGCAAACACGGTCCAAATTTATAGTTCCGAAATTCGAAAAAAATTAGATAAATGGCGTCTACCAAAAAAATTGCTATTCCTTCGTCTGATCCAAACCATGCCGTCCAAATTTCACTGTTTGATTACGTTAAAAAACTGGGTGTAAGGGTCGGAGAGCATTATCTAAAGAAGATCTCGACCATCGGAATCGATCCTGTTTTGATAGGTGGGAAACACTTCGAGCCTGGCTGCTTACCGCAAATTCGTGGAATCGACTCATTTGCTCTGCTGTTTTGTTTTCAAGATTAGCTATTATACGCAAAAAAGTCTTCCGCAGTCTGTAGGCCTACAATTAAATCTGGATTATTACCGCGAAGGATGGGACAATACACTGCGCTCATTGTTTGGGATGCGGGGCAGGCCTCGCCGAATCATGTTCGCTCGTAGCTTGTGTGCTATTTTACCTCGAGGCCTGAACAAAGGTCAATGGAGGGCTTTCCTGTACGCAAATTAAGTGCCCTTTGATACTTCCCAGTTCCGCAAACAAGGTGGAATACTCTCGTGTCCGCAATATTAATTTTAAATCCGCTAAAAAAATGAAAGTCGACGTCGATGAAACGATGGAGAATCTCAATGAGGGACTTCAGGTTTCTGAGAACTCGGAAGTCTTTTCTGAAAGCCGCGTTCAAAAACCGGAGGTGCCAGCGCCGACGCAAGTGGAAATGGAAAACTTTTATTTTGACCTCAGCAAATGCAAAACAAAGCCTGTATTTCTGAGCTTGGTGCCCACTGCTGATTCGACATCGAAGGAAATGTCAATAACCTTTACTCCTGGTTCATCAATTATTTGTTTTTTAGACTCGATTTCTTCCCATAGCTGCCTTTCACGTTCTCCTGCAACACGTTTCAGCTCACGATCTCTGGCTCTCTCGCAGTCTCGCTTGGCGGCAACTTCAAGGTTGGCTTGAAGCTTTTCGACAGAACCACATTTTCTGATGACCTAGATTTTGGGTCGGAAGCAAATCTGGATCGTAACGATCCCACAGTTTAGCCGCTTTTCCGGAGATAAAATGTTTACCACAGACCTGGTCGTGGAAAGTCTCCGTACTTCTTGTAGTCGACTAGTAATGATTGAAGGTATTCTTGCCATATTAATTCCTTTATCACGACCACTTCGGCTCCCACAGCTAAAAATCGCGCATACAACCATTTTTTATCATAAACACAACTTCTGGTCATATGTTTACAGGCAAGTGATGTGTACCAATATGGCGGCTAATTAAAATGCGATCACGTGACTGAAAACGATCCATAGATGTCACTGGTTTACCATGCTGCATCTAAACAAAGCCAAGCGCGTCCTTGGATGCATCTCCTAGGTTCTCTGTTATATCAATCTCGCTGAAGTACTTGAGTACTGGTGCTTTGGAAACAGCGTCTTTGATCTCTTCGAAGGCATTCTTCTGCTCGTGAGTCAAGATCCACTCGCATTCTTGTGAGTCAGGCGGCGTAGTGGCTCTCACATTCCTAAAAGGTTTTGTAGGAATTTAAAAAGTTATTTCACTAGCACTAACAATCTCTGCACTGCTGATACATCTGTTGGTCGCTCCATCTTGATTGTTGCGTCCGATTTCCTTTGATCTGCCTTAATTCCATTCTTCATCATCACATGTTCAATGAATGGCACTTTTGCTTTGCAAACTTCTCCTTGTTCAGTTTGATCTGTTTTGATCAACGACAGTCTTGCTCTATTAAGACTGAAATTTGTTTAGCGCTCGAAAATTGTGTTCGTCCTGCCTGGCAGTAATTATTCCACATTTGTAAGACTTTATCCATCCTAACTTTCTTTTTCTTGCAGACAGAGGGTAAACCAGGGTGGATATCGAGGACTTTTTACCCGATACATGCGAGGAAAGACGCTACTTGATGGCCGTCCAGCTTCGAATGTAAATCGATCATAAATTCCATGTTTGAAGTTATTTATTCCAATATTTTTTTAGATCTCCACGAACATTCAGCCTCGGAAGAACTGGAAGTGAATATTTGCTCCAGTGTTTGTGGCTTGGAATGACGCGCTGCTGCTGCTATCTGCTTGGGACGTCATATTTGTTTAGGTACTATCGTATTCAATTTAAATTCGACTAAAACGCAGGTTAAAAGCTGCTATATAACTTGCAGAGAGTTTCCCATACCATCATGTAGCGCTAGTGGCCCGAATTATCAGAAAAGACAGGGTAAACAGAACTTTGAACAGGTTTGATGGCCTACCAGCTTCAAAGCACAAGCAAGATACCTCGCAGCTCAGTCCTAGCGTTACAAGACCCCCTTACCATTTGGAAGGAAAAAAACATAACACGCATAATGTTATGCTAGTCAAGGTCCACTGGATGTTTTTCTGTGACAGTCTATCGCAAAAACCCTTTTCGGATTTTCTTCAATTGAGAAATTGAAACTTATAGGCGGTATGCACATCTGATTACAGGCAGTTATATTAAAAATGACGAAAATATATGACTAATGGGTATACCACTCGACAGCTTCGCATAATTAGAATTCTAGCATAAATGACGTTGACCTTAATGTACATAGATTGTCGTTTTATCGTAGAATTGAAACATGCAACCCGCACTCAAAACCTCTGGATCAAATGCACAGTGAAAATGGGGCTCTCAGAAGACCGAGTACGAAAGGTTTCACCAGTGAGTACTTTTGACTTTCAGAGCCTTAAAAGCCGGTCACATTGACACACCTTTTTGATGCAGTAAGGTGATACTCGAATAGATGAGTAACCTGCGTTGATTGAACGAGACAACGAGACGCCCTTTCCCTTGGGTAGGAAACCTGCCTCTATTGGCCGATGATTAGGGAAATTTCTAGTTCAAAGCACCAAACTCAGAACATACTAACTTCGAAATACAGTTCACAGGTTTTCTTTGATAATTTGTATGGCGAGAAAAATTTAAAGATATGTAAATGGAAATGTATGCAGTGTAACACAGTGGTAAGAAGGTGGCGTCCATAGGTGCATTTGACTCACAGCCCTACCGCATTTCACTTGCAGAGGAAATAAATTCCATGTTCACGAAAATATAACATTCCTCATTCGTAGCTGATTTCATTTGGAGCTGTGACACATTGCTCGTATCTGCTGGTATTTTTTTAATGCGCGATAGATTTGACGCTTTTTTTACACAAGTAAGACAGACTCTAACTTACAGCCATTGCAGCTGCGCGTTGTTACCGAAAATTCCCGATGGTAATTTCTTCAACTGGTTGTTGTTCATTTTCCTACCAAAAGTAATAGAGAGAGGTGTTGTTTACAATGTGCTTTTTAGCATGGTGCGGGCATTGTGTATGCTCGAAAATTTTTGTTAATGTAATCATCTGCTAACAAAGTCATATTGTCCAAGAATCGATGTCTTCCTTTCGAGTTTACACATAGAGACATAGTTAGCGCTACGATTTATAATCTGGTACAAAACAGATCGAGGCTCCTTGGATTTTTTTTTTGTTAAGCAGTGAAAACAACTAATTACCCTCCCATTACCCATTGTCGTAATACGTAAGGTTTAACATTACACACTGTTATTGAGAATAATGTTCATTATAAGCCAAAGGACATTGATCGCAGGAAGGGGGAGGTTAAGATACCAAAATGTGTGTATAGTTTTGTTTAGATCTAATTACACAGTATCTTCACTTGTACTGGCACAAATGATAGTCTTGGAGATAAATCTTTTAAATTGTTGTCGTTTAGACCTCTACCACAAAAAAAAAATCAAGGTGTTGATTAAGTGAAAACGTCTACATGTAAATGTCATTATTTGTCAAATTGTTAAGCATTTTCACTAACTGAAACAAGAATCTTACTGAGACTCTTACAAACTTTTTTTTACATAATTATAGTTGAAAATCTTTATCCACGTGATTGCCACGAGAGGAAAGCCCGTGAAAAGTGAGGTGTGTAAGGTTAGAAATCAAATTTCCTCAGCAAATTAAGGGAACGTGGAAAAAGTCTGCCTTGCAAAAACAATGAACAATGTATGTCACGATTGACGAAGGACTGTTGTCGGTCGCGGCGGACTGTTGTAGAAAAGAGAGATGGTGAAATCTTTTTCAATCACCCAAAGCCAAATATTTGCCACCTCACCTATTTGTCGACCGAACACCAACAGATTGCAGCACTGTTATTTGTACGGAAGTATCTGTTTTAGTGAAAATTGTTTTGTATAAGGTGTTGATAAAACTTTCTTCAGTACTGTCCGGTCATGTCTGTTTTGATATAATCCTGCGCCAGGCAAAAACATTTAAATGTTATAGCATAACAAGCTTCATTAGGTTTAAAGATGCGCTCGTTTTGTATTCCAAAATGAAGTCATTTCGCCGTACTAGGGCACTGGAAAGCAAAAATGTGAACAAGCACTGGAGATTTTGCACTCTCCAGTGGCCTAGTAGATCCTGGATGTAGAGAAGTGTCCATAGAAATTAAGTCCAGCGATATTTTAAGCCGAAGGTGAAAGCGGCGTAACATGCCTTTGGCTGTATCTTATGGAACCCTGCCAATTGAACTATTTCACTGACCAAATCAGACACCTTCTCACTGACGATTCCTTCAGATACCTTCGTGAGCCTATTGCTGCTCTTAGATGGTTCTTCTCCCATTGTTATACGAATGTCCGTTTCCTAAAATACTTCTTTCACACTTTCTTTCATGTTTGGTTTGCGATAAACCATCGCTTCTTTTTGTTTGAGAAGTGGCCAAAATCTGAACCCAGGGTACTCAACATGTCTCACCATCTCTTGATATTTATTGTAAAGCCTGCCCCGCCCGCATCATCGACGAACGAGCGCTGCCCAGTGACAGGATCTCTTTATCGCCAGTAATAAGTTAATAATTGTCTCTACGTCTTAGTCAAAAACGTAAGTATGATGTTTCCTTCTGTATTTATTGTTTTTGTTATCGTTCCTGTCAGCATCACCAGGTGCATGTAAAAGCCGAGTTAGCATCCCTCTAATGTAGTTTCTCTTTGATTTCGATTGGCCTTTTTCGAGTGACGTTTTGGACTCTCAATCCTTGGCCTAAGCGGGACCGATATGTGAGTACCTTGGTTATTTTGTTCAGGTTCCGTTTTATTGTTATGGGCAACTAACTAAATTATCTGCTTTGTTTTGGGCCTGTCCCAGCGAAATGAGAATGGGGATTTGAAAATGCCGCCAATTTGCCTCGATAGTTGTGTTATGGAAATATTGTCGTTCCCAAGCCTTTCCGCGCGTAAAATTTCTCTCTTGTTATAAGCATCTGCACTCATTTTGCCGCTGTGTCTCCAGTGTGTTCATTTGAGGATGCGCGAATGAAAAAGCTATGTTTAGATTTATATTGCCAGGTATAGTCATGGCATCAAATTTATATCCTATTTGAATTAATTTATCTAGGACTTCAGAAGAGATGATCAAAATCGAACCGGCGTGTTTGCCTTCTGTTCAGGATTTGTGAAGCATAATTTGTATGCTCAATAGTCAGTGATATACTCTCTGTGGTTTTGAACTCCCAAACGGTGGATAGGTGAGGACAAAAGCACGTTGGTGAGGAATAACGTCAAAGAGAGTGGTCAAAATGGAACGAGGAAACTGTATCAAGAAGTAACTTATCGGAAAAAATATAGGAATTGGTACGAATACTTTCACCTCTAGTTCTGCAGCAAAACGCTGACAGTCCTTTATGTAGACTCTTGAGAGAGTGTTCGCTGTTAACATATCTTTCCTAGGCTTGTAGCGTATCTCGAAGACATACAGCTGAAGTCGCGACGAAAGGATGCTCTAGCCTCTTGGGAGCTAATCCCTTAGGCTTCTGCATAAATAACATCTGGGGCTTTCGATCAGCCCGCAGGATGACTTTAACAGGTGAACACATGGTGGTTACGCTACATGCCAAGGACAAGGACCAAAATTCACATCCGATCTGCGAGTACTACCCCTCTGCCAACCGGATCAGCCCACTTCTACATGTCACTGGTCGATCATGCAGCATCAGTACAAAGCCAAGCACATCCTTGAACGCTTCTCCTGGGTTCTCTGTTAGGTCACTCTCGCTGAAGTACTCGAGTACTGGTGCTTTGGAAACGGTGTCTTAAATCTTTTGGAAAAAAATATTTTCTGCTCGTGAGTCCAGATCCACCAGCAATCTTACGAGTCAGGCGGCGCATTGGCTCTCACTTTTGTGAAATTTTTTGTAGGAATTTAAAGGGTAATTCTATAAATCTCTGCAATGCTAGTACATCTTCGTCATCACATGTCCGATCAATGGCACTTCACTTTATTTGAATTCGAACTTCTCCTTGTTCAGTTTGATCTGTTTCGCTCAACAACAGTCTTCCTCAATTAAGATTGAAATTTGTTTCGCGCTTGAAAAAATTATGTTTAAATAATAATTTTGTACAAGACTTTCAAAAGGATTATTAAGAGAGAACCGGCATGATGATCTCCTGATCAGGCTTTATAAAGCAAAATTTGCATGCCTTTAAGTCAGTGATATGTACTCTGCAGCTTTGAACTATGAAGCGATAGATGGGTGAGGACATTGGTCTACAGTCAGCTATTCGATTATACTTTTGAAAAGTCCTACAAGTAGACCTTATGGCTTTGACAACCGTTCAGATCCAGTGGTTCTGGCGTCCACTATTTGGGGCTTGTCAGGTGTTATGGATCGATACTGCGTCTTCCTTGGTACTGTCACTGTGGTTTTGCGCGATTGTTTCGGTCTGCTAACGGAGGTGCTTGAGGCTTGTGTGCAGTTGTTCGGAAGGACGGCTGCTGGGAAATCATCTTTTGCATCGGGGAGCCGTCCAAGATTGTTTTTTCAACCTCTGTAGAGTCAGGACACAAATCGTCTCTCTCTATGGCCATGGGTTTTATTGAGTTGGTGGTCTGGAACGGGAAGGATGTGGTTGGCACGAATGCGTTCGACCGCT